CTGCTCCCCTAGACCTGGGAAACCTGGGAAGCTGCTGTCTTCTCCCCACTCGTGACACTGGGCAGGAGCTCCACAAAGGGTCTAATGCACCGTGAGCGTAGCTTCTGGGGAGGGCTGCAGAGGGAGCGGAGAGGGGAGGGAGAGAAGCCTCAGGACTTCTCAGGGGTAGGAGTGAGTGTGGCGTGGAGGAGGTAAGAAACTATTTCTGGCCACTAGGTGACCTGATGACAAAGGCCCATTTAAAACCCTCTTACCTCTCCCAACCCCTCCACCCTGCCCCCAGCTTGGAGGGCCTCCCATAGGAGGCTGACACGGCCCCATAGGAGGGGATGGTTGATGGCCCCATCCACCAGCTCTGTGCGGCCCAGACATAGGGTCAAGGCTGCCAGCATGGCTTGGGGGAGGGGCAGGATTGCACCCACACAGTGTGAGGTGGGCGGGGGGGCAACATCTCAACTTCACAGAGGCTGATAAGGGGTCAGCCTGTCCTGAAGGCGCAGCCAGGAGCAGGGGAGTAGAGAACGGGCCACTGGAGCATGGAGGACAGAGACAAGCAGCTACTGCAGAAGCTAGGCCGCGTGTCTGGGGAAGCAGAGATTTCAGCAGCTTTTAAACTGCCTGTGTCAGGGGCATCCAGATCGCACTCAGCAGGGGGTACTCTGCACATAAAATGTCAGCGAACCCTGAATTGTAAGTTCCCATGTAAGGGCCCCTATTATGACCACATTTATAGATGAGGAAATCGAAGCTCAGAGAGGGCAAGCAGCTTGCTCAAAATCACATAGCCTGAGGCCCAGCGTGGTGGCTCATGCCTATAATCTCAGCACTTTGGGAGGCTGAAGTGGGTGGATTGCTTGAACCTAGGAGTTCAAGACCAGTCTGGGCAACATAGCAAAACCCCATCTCTGCAAAAAATACAAAAATTAGCCAGATGTGGTGGTACACGCCTGTGGTCCCAGCTCCATGGGAGGCTGAGGTGGGAGCATCACATGAGCCCGGGGAGGTGGAGGCTGCAGTGAGCCATGATCGAGCCACTGCATTCCAGACTGGGTGACAGAGTGAGACCCTGTCTCAAAAAAGAAATCACATGACCTGAAAGTGGCAGAGGCAAGACTTGAACCCAGGCCTCTCTGTCCTGGAGGCTGGCAGGGGCCAAAGACTGATAGAGCCAAGAATAATGCCAAGAATAATGCCCCAGGGCCCCCAGCTAAGTGGGGGGAGTCCTGGATACCTACAGCCGGAGCCATCCCACTGCTCCCCTCCCCCACCCCTGTGGCCTGCCAAGGATCCGGCTGTCAGTCATGGAGCTGGCAGGTCATAACTCATACGACGCTGAAGTCTGAGGGATCCACGCAAGGACGACAAGCGATCCCATAAAAGACAGGCGATTTACCAGTTTAATTTGATGGCCGCATAAACTATGAAACACATAACAAGGGAATAAAAAGGCAGCCAGGCACCCAGGCAATTAAAGACTCCTCTGGTGAGGTGTGCCATCTTCCTCGCCACCCCTAGGCCCCGCCCTATTTTCCTGGAACCAGAGGGCTCAGCCTCGGGCTGGCCTTGTGGGACGGGGGGGTGGCAGGGGAGCCTCTGGCCAAGATGGATGAGGCCCACAGACAGTGGAGCGGAAAGGCCTTGGGTCCCTGCCTCCCAAATGCTTCTTGGTTATCTATCAAGCATCTCTGAAAGGTGCAATTTAGACTCTATTATGATGCTGAGGCCTCTAGAGGCTGAGGACTGTGGCCATGAGCTGAGCGGGCACTGGGAACAGATGTCCATGCCAGGGAATGCGGTGGTTTGCCTTGGCTTTTGCCTTACAAGTTTGCCCCCTACTTAGGGCACTGCTCAGGAACAGCCGAGTACAAAGGCCACCTGTATCCCTTGTGCCAGGAGTCATCAGCCAACAGACCAGGGAGGGAGGTAATCCTCCAGCCAGATGCTGGGGGGCCCCTGGCAGAGGTGCTCCTAGACTCAGACTTGACCCTGGAGACGGAGGCAAGGTGACCTGTGAGCAGGCCTGTGTCTTCCTGTCTCTAGCACCTGCCCTGTGCTACCTGCCTGCTCATAAGTGACTTGAGGCAGGACCTCCGGCTCCATAGCCTTCATGGACCTGGCTCGGTGCAGAAGGGACAGACGTGCAGTGGGAAATCTGGGCTGACTGTGACCTTGGCTGGGCCCCTCTTGTCTCTGAGTCTCAGGCTGCTGGGCTGTGAAATGAGGGCTGTGGACCTGTGTGTAGGTGGCAACCTCTGCACCCTTGCCTGTGAAGGGGAGTGGGTGAGGTCTGGCCAGAGAGGTCACCCCACCGCCTAGGCTTTTCATTATCCTCTGGAGGCTGATGTGTCTAGCTCTGCATGCTGTCCTGGCCTCCAAGCCCGTCCTCTCCCACGATCTGGGCTGGTGTCCTTCCCAGTTCCCGATGTAATGAAAGGTGAGGTGGTCAGATAAGGGCCAGGGCAACCTGGGATGGCCCTGGGCAAAGGAAGCAGGAGGCTCACGGGAGAGTGGGTACCTCCGTGAAGGTCTGAGAATGCTCAGCCTGGGCTGCAGGACTGTGTCTGGGCTGGCCAGGGACTCACAGCCCTCAGCAATCTGGAGTCAAGCACTGGGGTCCTGCAGCCACACAGCCCTGGGGTGGAATCCAGACCCCACCTCCTCCTGCCAGGGGACCATGGGCAGGTCTGTGTGCCTCCGTTCCCTCATCTACAGAACAAGTCCATCACAGTTTCTCCTTTGAAATCTTTAGTGAGCATCTGCCATGTGGGAAACACCATGAGTAAGATGCACGAATCCCTGCCCTTATAGAGAGTACCTTCTAGTGGGGAGACAGACAATGAAAACAAAAAAGGGCCGGGCGCGATGGCTCACACCTGTAATCCCAGCACTTTCAGAGGCCCAGGGAGGTGGATCACGAGGTCAAAAGACCAAGACCACCCTGGCCAACATGGTGAGACCCCGTCTCTACTAAAAAGACAAAAAATTAGCTAGGCATGGTGGTGGGCACCTGTAGTGCCAGCGACTCAGGAGGCTGAAACAGGAGGATCACTGGAACCCGGGAGGCGGAGGTTGTAGTGACCCAAGATGGCTCCATTGCACTCACACCTGGTGACAGAGCGAGACTCCATCTCAAAACACAAAACAAGACAAAACAAAACAAAAAAGATAAAACATGTAGTGTGTTAGTTGTTGGTAAATACTATAGGTAAGCAAGGAACTGACAGGAGTATCTGGGAGTTATAATTCTTGATAGGGTGCCCAGGAAAGGCCTCACTGGAAGGAGATGCAGGCATGGATCTGGGGATGAGCTGTCTGGGCAGACAGCACAGCATGTGCCAGGGCCCTGGGGATACCAGGGGTTGCCTGGCTGCTGCAGTCAGTGAGAGGGGAATGGAGTGGACAAGGCCAACGGGGGTGCCACATAGGATTGCATAGGGCCTTGGCAGCCACCTTGATGACTGTGGTGGCTGCCTGGGCAGAGACCCTGTAAGTGCAAAGGGGGCGTTTGAGTGTGCAGGGGTGAGTGGCAGAGGCATTCACCATGGCAGGGCCCATTCTGTCGTCGGGTGGTCACTGATGTAAAGCCACACTTGGCCACAGTCCCTGCCCTTGCAGTTTGGTGACATGAAAACACCAGTCACCAAACAGTGTGACCTGCAACCCACAGAGTGCTGCAGTCTCAAGATTGCCAAGATTCTGGCCTCCTCCCCAGATGGCCTAGGTTCCTCCTACCTGGTTCTCAAGTAGTCTTGAGTAAGTTAACATCTCTGAGCTTCAGTTTTCTCATCTGTTCAATGGGATTAAGGGCACTGACCTCATGTTTGCTGGGAGGGTTAAATGACTTAAATATTAGGAAAGTTCTCAGCAAAGTCTTTATTATAGTTTGAGCTACCATCCATCCCATCAGAATGGAATCCCAAGTGGCTAAAACAGGGCCTGGAATATAGTAGATTCTCAATAAAGCTCTGTTGGATGCATGATGGATGGATGGATGGATGGATGGATGGATGGATGGATGGATGGACAGGTGGGTGGATGGATGGATAGATGGACAGGTGGATGCATGGATGGATGGATGGATGGGTGGATAGGTGGATGCATGGATGGATGGATGGACAGGTGCATGCCGGAATGGATGGATAGATGGATGACAGGTGGATGCATGGATGCATGGATGGATGGATGGTTAGGTGGGTGGATGGATGGATGGATGGATGAATGATGGACAGATGGATGAATGGATGGTAGGTGGATGGGTGGGTGGACAGACGGATGGGCAGAACAGAGGGAAGCTTTATCTGGGGCCCCAGGAAAACCTAGTAGAGGAGGTAACATTTGAGCTGGGTCCTGCAAGAGTAACTTGCGTGATGGAGAGAAAAAGCAGCCAGGAATAGAGAAGGACAGAGAAGACAGAAAGTTTTGCCTGGTTGAGAAACAGGTGTTCAGTCCCTGGGGCATGGAAGTAAGGGCCTTGCTGGCTCAGTGGGCAGGTGCCGGCTCTGCTCTGTACACCAGAGCTGCCCTCCCAGGCTGGGGCTTCAGGCTCTGAGAGGGCATCTTGTCCTATCATTGAAAAGCCTCCATGAACCCAGCGTTTTACAGCAGAGTTTTACTGGCTGCATGAAGACACCTTCCTCACTGAGACTGAAAGATAATTTCTCTTTAATTGATTTTTTACCACTATGAACAGTAAAATAATATAAGAAAAATCTATGCTGCAATTTTTCCATTTGTGAAAACTGAAATTACACCTTGCAGCCAATTCCCTCAGAGTACAAATGCCTCCCTCCTTTTATTTGTCTCATTCCTTTAAACTTTCAGCTAGTCCAGGAAAAAAAAAAAAAAAAACGGTCTGTTTATGATTTGAGAAAGGGGCAAGGTGTGGGACAATTTCCCACACAACTCGAAACCCAGGGCCAGGGAGGCACCTCTGATGAAAAGAGATTTCTGTAAATACATGAGAAAGTGATTCTGTTGACACCTCATTCTTCTGTCTGTAGAATGTACGAGTGACAACAGGACATGTTGTTTTAACACCAGACAATGAAGCTCCCTGCTCTGCACTCCTCGCCAGTGATGGCACTGACAGCTTCGTTCTCGCAGGTTCTGGCAACGCCCCCCTTTTGAGCTCCTGGGCCTTCCAGAAACAAGCTTTCCTTTTGAACCCTGGGTCCGAGCCAGATAGCCATGAGTGCTCCTCGTGCGGTGCCAGGGAAACAGCGGCTGTGAATCCATAAAACACGCCCTAAATCCATCCCATCCACATTGACTGGTACCTTTAGCATTGGCCATAAAGACTGGCTTTGTGTGAAGTCTTGAGAGAAGAAACCAAACCTGCCGCATGGCTCTCACTAAATTAACCTCCCCGAGGCTCCGGATCACATTTCCGGAGGGCTGTGGCAGCGTGCGCCTCATTAATGGGCAACCTCTTGGCTCCCGATACGATTTAACGTTAGCCAGATGTTGTCAGAATCCGACCTTGGCGGGAGCAATCATCTGTGGCATAAACCCGGCACAAAGGCCGCTCCTCCAGCTTGACCGCACCCCGCAGGACCTGACTTCGGCCACCCCCTTGGTGCAGGCTGGCAGGTGGGAGGGGTGCACGATTCGCTCCTGGGTGACTTCGGCCACCCCTTGTGCAGGCTGGCAGGCGGGAGGGGTGCACGATTCGTTCCTGGGGTCACTGTCGCCTCCTCCCTCTCACTGACCCCGTCCTGTGCTCCTTGCAGGTATTCAGGCTCCAGGCCAGGTGGGGCCGGACACCCCCAGCCATCCACCATGGTGGTGGCACACCCCACCGCCACCACCACCACCACAACCACTGCCACTGTCACAGCCACCGTCGTGATGACCACGGCCACCATGGACCTGCGAGACTGGCTGTTCCTCTGCTACGGGCTCATCGCCTTCCTGACGGAGGTCATCGACAGCACCACCTGCCCCTCGGTGTGCCGCTGTGACAACGGCTTCATCTACTGCAACGACCGGGGACTCACCTCCATCCCCGCAGACATCCCTGATGACGCCACCACCCTCTATCTGCAGAACAACCAGATCAACAACGCCGGCATCCCCCAGGACCTCAAGACCAAGGTCAACGTGCAGGTCATCTACCTGTACGAGAATGACCTGGACGAGTTCCCCATCAACCTGCCCCGCTCCCTCCGGGAGCTGCACCTGCAGGACAACAATGTGCGCACCATCGCCAGGGACTCGCTGGCCCGCATCCCGCTGCTGGAGAAGCTGCACCTGGATGACAACTCTGTGTCCACCGTCAGCATTGAGGAGGACGCCTTCGCCGACAGCAAACAGCTCAAGCTGCTCTTCCTGAGCCGGAACCACCTGAGCAGCATCCCCTCGGGGCTGCCACACACGCTGGAGGAGCTGCGACTGGACGACAACCGCATCTCCACCATCCCGCTGCATGCCTTCAAGGGCCTCAACAGCCTGCGGCGCCTGGTGCTGGACGGTAACCTGCTGGCCAACCAGCGCATCGCGGATGATACCTTCAGCCGCCTACAGAACCTCACAGAGCTCTCGCTGGTGCGCAACTCGCTGGCCGCACCACCCCTCAACCTGCCCAGCGCCCACCTGCAGAAGCTCTACCTGCAGGACAACGCCATCAGCCACATCCCCTACAACACGCTGGCCAAGATGCGCGAGCTGGAGCGGCTGGACCTGTCCAACAACAACCTGACCACGCTGCCCCGTGGCCTGTTCGACGACCTGGGGAACCTGGCCCAGCTGCTGCTCAGGAACAACCCCTGGTTCTGTGGCTGCAACCTCATGTGGCTGCGGGACTGGGTGAAGGCACGGGCGGCCGTGGTCAACGTGCGGGGCCTCATGTGCCAGGGCCCTGAGAAGGTCCGGGGCATGGCCATCAAGGACATCACTAGCGAGATGGACGAGTGTTTTGAGACGGGGTCGCAGGGTGGCGTGGCCAACGCAGCCGCCAAGACCACGGCCAGCAACCACGCCTCCGCCACCACACCCCAGGGTTCCCTGTTTACCCTCAAGGCCAAAAGGCCGGGGCTGCGCATCCCCGACTCCAACATTGACTACCCCATGGCGACGGGTGATGGTGCCAAGACCCTGGCCATCCACGTGAAGGCCCTGACAGCAGACTCTATCCGCATCACGTGGAAGGCCACGCTCCCCGCCTCCTCCTTCCGGCTCAGCTGGCTGCGCCTGGGCCACAGCCCGGCCGTGGGCTCCATCACAGAGACCTTGGTGCAGGGGGACAAGACAGAGTACCTGCTGACGGCCCTGGAGCCCAAGTCCACCTACATCATCTGCATGGTCACCATGGAGACCAGTAATGCCTATGTAGCTGACGAGACACCCGTGTGTGCCAAGGCAGAGACGGCCGACAGCTACGGCCCTACCACCACGCTCAACCAGGAGCAGAACGCTGGCCCCATGGCGGGCCTGCCCCTGGCAGGCATCATCGGTGGGGCCGTGGCTCTGGTCTTCCTCTTCCTGGTCCTGGGGGCCATCTGCTGGTACGTGCACCAAGCTGGCGAACTGCTGACCCGGGAGAGGGCCTACAACCGGGGCAGCAGGAAAAAGGATGACTATATGGAGTCGGGGACCAAGAAGGACAACTCCATCCTGGAAATCCGTGGGCCCGGCCTGCAGATGCTGCCCATCAACCCGTACCGCGCCAAAGAGGAGTACGTGGTCCACACCATCTTCCCCTCCAACGGCAGCAGCCTCTGCAAGGCCACGCACACCATTGGCTACGGCACCACGCGGGGCTACCGGGACGGCGGCATCCCCGACATAGACTACTCCTACACATGATGCCCGCCTACCTGGGCTGCCCCGCCCCAGCCCCAGCTGCCCTGGCGTGGCCACGTGGCTTTGCCCAGCCTGCTGCAACCCGAGAGAGCAAGGAAGAGAAATTCCACGGATGACTTTCCCCCGCAGAAAGCAAAGTTTGGGGAGGGCTGACGATTTTGTAGAACACAACCGTGACAATTTTTTTTTAAAGAATAGAAGGCAGGAGGGGGAATTCGACATTGTTGAAGACATAATTTATACCGAGTTATACCAGTTGGGGAGGGAAGGACTAAAAATAATATCACAGGAAGGGCTGGGTTGGGTTTTTTGTTGTTTTTTTTTTCCCTGAACTGGAAGGATACTACCTGTACAACATCTGTGGACACCTCATGCTCTGTTCAGGGCCGTCACAAAGGAACCGCCAGGGAGAAGCAGCCGGCTCTCAAAGCTCCCACGCAGCTCTCCCGCTGCTGGCCACTCGCTGGCAACGTGATGGAAGGTTTTCAGGCTCCTCACAAAGGAGAGAGGGAAGAAAAGATCTTTTGCCCTGGAGATATGGTCCTGAAATCTCTCCCCTGGCTCATTCCATACCATTTCCCTTGCAGATTTGCAGAAACATGGCGTCTTTCACTGCATTCTTTGAACAATCATGTAGTTGATTAAAACACAAACAAACTTGTTTTTCCCTAGGCTGAAGCCCTCTTCAGTTCCATGCACCACGCTCTCCTGTAGAAGCCCCCGCGGAAGCCGTAGCTTTCCCCGCCACCTGGAGGTGCATCTGTCTGCCTGTCTATCCCTGTCGCGGTGTCTCTAAGTACAGTTGGGTAGACAGAGACACATGCACGGTCCTTACCGTTCTCCTTGGGTCAGTTCTTACCATTTCCTGAGACAATAGAATTGCGAAAGTGTTGCTTTCTCCTAGAGATCATTGAGTAAGTAGACGGTGTGTTGGGGATGGGAGTGAGGTGGGGGAAGAGACTTGGTCTCTGGGGGCTACTGCTGTTCCTAAAGGCTGAGGTGCGTATGTCTCAGACGGGTGGCTTAGGGAGGCGTCGCAGCAGGGGCTTCCAGTTCCACCCTAGCTCAGCTTGGCCAGCGCTGGGCTGCTCTCCTTTCTGATCTAGATAAAAGCTTTATTTGATTCCAGTGTCCTCATCTCCCTCCCCCACCACGTGCAATCACCTTAACAGCTACTTTTGGAGCATTTACCATGTGCTGAATGTTCCCTCCTAGGACGGGTAATTAGCGCAGGGATTTTTTTTTTTTTTTTTAAATATCAGCTGATTAGACCTATTGGTTTCCATGGCTGCTCAAACAAAGCCCAGAAAGAGACACAAAAATTCTCAAAAAAGCCCTGGGTGACGGCAGTCCCTCCCTGAACATAGAAAACTCAGCTGGGCCCACCCCTGGGACTCTGTTTCTTGAGAGGGAGAGGCCAGATCTCTTTCTAAAAATGCCAGCCTCCAAAAGGGCCCTGGCTGGGGCCCTCAGAAGAGTTAAGATTTTATTTCCTCTCTCTGGAATCTATGTCGCTATCATTCATTTATCAACTGACAGTGCAGTGTGGTGAGCCATGAGATTAAAACGATGATGAAATAATGACAGCGAATCGGAGAGGGGGGAAGAGTGGAGCCTGCGTCCCAGTACTCGGGGAGCCCGGGTCACCATCTGTCACTGTGCTGCTTGTTCTGTGCCGAGGAAAAGGAACGTCAAAGAGGAGATGCTGGTCCGAGGGCAGGAGGATAAGAGGGCTGGGAGCGCCTGGTGGTGCTCTTTTCAAACGGCCTCCGCCGCCGTGCGAAAGCAAAGGCAGAAGCAGCAGCGGGGCAGGGGTTACGTTAAAAGGCCCGACCGGCGCCTTCAGTGAGGAGATGAGGCTGAAAGGAGCGGACACAACAGCCACGTGGAAAGTGGAAGGACGGGCGCAGGTTCCCAGCACGGCCCGGGGGGAGCTAGCCCACAGAACAGGTCCACTCCTCAGCCCTGGGGAACAGCCAAGCAGCGTGGGCACCTTTCACTCGAAACTAGACGTGTTTTTCCTTTTCCTGCCTGAATCATTTTCTCACACAATAAGGTCAAGAGAGAACCTTCCCCAGGCCTTAATGTCAGGTCTGTGTAAAAGCCCCAGGCCGGGCGCGGTGGCTCACGCCTGTAATCCCAGCACTTTGGGAGGCCGAGGCAATCTTCTGAGGTCAGGAGTTTGAGACCAGCCTGGCCAACATGGTGAAAGCCCGTCTCTCTAAAAATGCAAAAATTAGCCGGGCGTGGTGGCGGGCGCCTGTTACCCAGCTACTTGGGAGGCTGAGGCAGAAGAATCACTTGAACCAGGGAGGCAGAGGCTGCAGTGAGCCGAGATTGTGCCACTGCATTCTAGCCTGGGCAAAGAGTGAGACTCCATCTCAAAAAAAAAAAAAAAAAGTAGGCCCTCCCTGTGGACCACAGCCCCCCTGCCCTGAGACGAGCAGAAGGGCCCACCTGGGTTGTCTGGGAGGAGGGAGTGCCCGAGGTGTGCCACGTTGGCATGGGGGACAGAAGTCCCAGGTCTCTGCTGATTCTAAAATGAGCCCCCCCTCCCTGAAGGGCACCACTCTGATCACTGCCTTCCCCCAAGTGCCACCCATCTGCAACACGGTGCTGCCAGCACACTGTCCCCACCTCACCTAGGTCCCCTTGTCTCCTTTCCTTACCCTAGACAGGTCAGGTCATGCCCTTAGTGTTTAGGAAGGCATCTGGAGACAGTAGATGGCCTGGACTGACAGCTGCCTGGGAAGGTCCCGCTTGGCTGGGGCAGGAGTGCGGGGGACTTAGTGCTAGAGAGCAGGCAGAGCTGGGAGCCAGCCTGTGCCCAGTCACGCCCTCCCAGACAAGGCCTAGGTGATGAGCCTTCCTCCCCCGCATTGCACAGAGATGGCCCAGGCAGGCAGGATCCCTGGCAGCTGCCCCAGAGGAGCTCCTTGGGCCCCAGGACCACGCGAGTCTCCTGCTCCTGGTTCTTGCACTAACTGGGCGAGCGCGGGGCTCGACCCCTCTTACCAGACCCTGCCTGCCTCATTGCAGGGATCACCCGCCCCCTGGAGCTCTAAGTTTGGATGAAGGTGGAAGCTCCACCCAGTCAGGGCCCTGGAACCCAGCTCTAGAGCTGACTTTCTCATCTTTTCTGCCCCTCAGCAATCCTGACACCTTCCCAGGGTCCTTTCTGGGCTTTCCCAGAGCAAGCCCCCAAATATCTGCTGTGTCACAGCCCCCTCAGCCAGGGAGGGGGCCAGAAGCTAGGTCCGTTCTGAAACCCCATCCCCTCTTGGCCCAGCTCCTCCCAGCTGGTCTCACACCACAAGATAGGAGATGTTTTCGGACACCCCGCCTTCCCCCGGGCCTGTCTAAATTCTCCTGGGCTCCCATGCACAGCCGACATTTCCAAGGGAACGTCCTTGGCCGGGCTGACCCTCACAGCCTCTAAGTAACCAGAACAACCTCAGTGGCCTCAGCACTGATGAGTACGTTTTGTGGCATTTAAGGCAGGTTTAAAGTTAAAGATATAAAAAAGCCCACGACACTTCTTTGGTTAAGTGGTTTACCCTTCGTGGTAATTAGATGTAGTGATTGGAATGTCTTTTCTATTACATGGCAATTTTCCTTTAAATTTCCCCTTAAAAGAAAAAAAAAAAAAAGGAAAGGAAAGGAAAGAAAAGGCAAGGAAGGAGAGAGAGAAGGCACCAGCAGGCCGGGAATCATTTGCATTTTGCGAATGAGGCCTCTTGTAAGCTCAGCTCAGGCGTGGGGCCCAACGTATGGAATGCTTAAGAGATTACTAAAAATAAAATCTATTAATTAGTCATACTCAATTCCGCAGACATGATGTGCATCAAAAGCTGCTTTTCTTCCCTTTTCTCCTTCCCCCTCCCCACGGCCTCCTGCCACAGCCTCCATCTTCTTTAAATAGGCTGGGGCTTGCTAGACCACCTCCATGCTAACATGGTACATGCGGCAGCCAGGGGTCTCCCTGACCCAGGGCCGGGATGCAGGTCTGGAGCCAGGAGCTGGGGCATTGCACCTTCCTGGCTCTGGGTGACGCTGGCAGGGGAGGGGACAGCACCTGGGAAGATAGCAGCAGCTGGGAGGGGCCCAAGCTGACTCTCCCAAAGCCCAAAGCCCACACCTGCCTTGTGCCTCTTCTCCCTCCCTCTATGCAGGCACCGGGTCTCCTCCTTCCCCTGGGGGTCCAGGAAACCCTCCCTCTGAGCCCAGCCCAGCCCTGTCCGAACAAAGCCAGGCGGAGAGCCGAGGAGGCGGTCAGGGAGATGTTTTCCAAGAGGTGCAGGGAAAGACGGTTTGGTGAGAATACGGCCTCTGTTTCCCTTTCAGTAAAGTGGGGGTGTGCTAGGGCGGGGTCCAGCGTCACTCAGGAAACGGGTGCTCCAGAGGCCGAGTGGGGGCCCCTCCCCCGTGCTGGCGCTGAAAGGTCCTAGCTGGCCCAAGTCAGGTGAGGGATCCCTGAAGGGTGGGAGGGGCTGGTCAGGGCCTGAGCAGAGGACAGGCCCGGACCCAAGTCTGCCTCCAAACCTGTGCCTCCCTCCTTCACCTCCAGCCCTGGAGCCAAGCAGCCAGGAGAGGAGGAGAAAGAGCAGACCCTCCCCCTTGAAAATGGCAGCTCAAGTCCCAAAGCCAGCCCACTTCAGAAATCTGCTTCCTGCTGAACATGCCAGGAAGGAGGCCGGGGCTTCTGAGCCTCGCACTTATGAAAAATACAACAAGGAGAATTGGATGTGGCAGAGAGTGAAGGGGCGGGGAGGGCAACGGGGAGAGCAGGGGCGGTGCTGGCAGGAGGGGCCGGGCGCAGGGACCTGTGCCCCCAAGGGCCAGACCCTGCTCTCAGGGCCAGGACACAGCGAGGGTCAGTGGCGAGCATCTGCGTGCCTCCTCATACTCGATAGGTGCAGGTGACAGCAGCTGCTGCCTGCCCCTGGGGTGGGCGCCAGGGCGAGCACTCACAAGCGATTGGCAGCCGTGCATCGGCCTTCCTGAGTGCAGAGAGGAGGCATGTTTTTTTCTTAAGGAGGGATAAAAAGGCTCAAAAATGCAAATCGTTACCGTTTACAACCAAGGGAGTCTGCTAAATTGATTAGGAGAGGTTAAACTCCTTGGAGGTGAAGGGAAAGGGGGATTTTTCATGGTTTATGAACCTGCCCCAAGTGGCTATCTGCACAGCAGGGACTTCCTGGGCCTCAATGGGTGGTGGGGGCCGGGGGGGGAGGTGGGTGCGAGGTAGGGGGCACCTGCCCTGGCTTGGCTCTCTGGGGAGCCAGGGTCTCTGAAGACCAACACTGAATGGGTCAGAGTACTCAGGCTTGAGGCTCCAGCACTGCCCTAGGGAAAGGGGCTCAGGCCTCTGCGACAAGTGGCCCATCCAGTCCTTAGAGAGTAGACTGTAGAGTCATGGGCTTTTCTACTTCCTTTCTGTTCTGGGTGGGTCTGTCTCCAGTCCACTCCTTGTGGCCAGTAAAAGGGGAGTGGGCAAAGGGAAAACTGAAGGTCAGGGAAGAGAAACTCTAGCCCAGCAAAGGAAGCAGGCAGTGAGCTCTCCATCACTGGGAGCATTCAAGCGCTAGATGGGGACGTGGCAGATACTTTCCTCCCAAGATCTGGTGCTTTGACTAGAAGATCCTGGTTCCCACCCTTGCTTTCTCATCCCCCAGGACACTGAAAGGGAGCAGATATCAAGAGATGTTCACTGTGTTGCTCAAAGTCACTGGAATCCCCCGAAAACCCCAAGTCAGGGCAGTCCTGTAGCTAGACCATCCAGCCCCACCAAGAAGCCGCTTGTGCCAGCAGAGAGGCTGCAAAATACCTATTCTCAGTGTCTAAGAGGCACCAAGAAAGTACAGATGTGCGCCACCCACTTTCCAGAGTCTAAACTCAGCACCTGTGGCTCGCCGGAGGGGCTGATGGAGAGCGCCTCCCGGGCCCTGCGGCTCCGAAGCCCAGACTGCATCCTGGGCCTGTCTCTTAAGCCAGGGCTGCCTCCCAGGCAGTCCAACACACTCTGTGCTGCTGCTGCCACTGTATCCGTCCATCCATCCATCACCGCCGGTGGACGGCGCCTGGGGCACTTTTCACTCTGTGGTTTTAAGCATTTACCGTTTCTTTTGAAATGTTCTAAGTAGGTGCCTGAAATACCCATATTTGCTTCTTTTTAAAAACTCACAGATTCTTTTTGCTCTCCATCCCCTTCCTTTGCTCTTCCCCCTCCCTCTGCATTTTTAATCTGTGGGTTCTCCCTGGTTTTGGAAACTCCAAAAGAGGGGGTCAGGCCCCCTTTATCACCATAAATAGATGTGCAGGTGTGCCTGGAGACCCCCAAAGCCACAGAGCAAAGCCTAGTCTTTTTTTTTTTTTTTTTTTTTAGATGGAGTTTTGCTCTTGTTGCCCAGGCTGGAGTGCAAT